TCAAAACTGATTTTTATTAATTATATGATTCTATAGAATCACCCCTAATATTATTTTCAAACCATACACAAATTCAATTCAATTTTTTCCTTTTTTTTAATTTTATTCAAAAGTAATTTATTTTAGATTAACATTTTATCGACGAATATTTTAGCGTTTTAATTATTCAAACATTTTTTGTGTTATCTTCATTATTTTTGTTTTTGTAAATTTGAAAGTGAATGAGCTTGCAGATTATCTGTCATTCGTATTGAATAACTTGTTTTCATTTTCGATTTTTAACCAAAAGCAAACAAAAAAAAATAATATTTATATGCAACACATTGTCATTATAATTATTGAATAACCAATTCATGGTGGTGTTGTTGTAGTCAAACAAAACGAAACAAGACAACAACAATAATAATAGTAAACACTTTGTTTGGGGTCTTTCGTGAACTGCATTCGCAAATAATTTCTCTTGGGAATTAAAGATTGGGAGGTACACTAGTCGGCACGTACATACATGACTTTGTCCAATGGAGTAAGAAGCGTTTTGCATGACATGAAGCCCAAAACAACTTCAAGGGAAAAAAGCTCCACTTTGCAAACACATTGCTTTTTTTCTTCATTTCTTTTTATTTTATTTCGGGGACCACTGTCAAAAGTAATTCATATTCATAAGAGAGTGTTAACGAACACCCCTCCCCCATTTCTTGTTGTTGTTGCATTCATATTTATTTACTCGTTGACGATGAACGTGATATGAACAATAACAACAACAACACCAATCTCCCTAAGTGATTAACACTGTCGTTTTCATTTGTGTAATCTTGATGACGACGATGATGTTGTTATAAGTATACAAAGAAAACAAAAACAACAATTAAACGAGGGGAGAAAAACAAAAGACTTAAGACACAAACATGCAAAATAAACAGAACAGGTTGCTGTTATCCATTCCCCCTCGAGTAGAGAGTAAAGTTGTGTAAATTATTGCCGGCTCTTTAAGAGTTTGTTTAATTTTATGATTTTTTATTAATAAAAAAACAACAACAACAGAACCATGTGAATATTCAATAACAAAAAGTTATAATTACATTTCGTTTTTTCTTTATTTACACACGTTTTTGCGATCATCTATTTTGTTAAATGTACTCCAAGTTTATAAACGATCGACATACACACACGAATGTATAAAACTGCAGTTTATCCATGTGAACTGTTAACACCACAATGTGCGCTACTTTGTATTATTTTAAATGCACAGAGAGAAATACACACATTATATAGCCCTTGAAAAAAATATATTTTAAAAATCCACACCATTTACCTTCTTACTTTTCTTAGCTTCCTTGTGACAGAATTTTCGTTCCATAAGCTGAGCATGAAAAAGATTTCCTGTCGCGTCGGTCTTTTGCGCAGTTTTTCCAATTTGAAAGACCATATTCGGCAATGTTATCTTCAACTTGATCTTTCCATCGTATTTGTGACCTTCCCCTTCTAAACCATCAGCCGGTTCGCTTTTATATGCCTTTTGGGCTGAGGCATCTTCATCAATTCTAACAACATGACTTAGCCAACGTAGTCGCTGCATGTCGATGTCCTGGTAAAACTCCATGGTTCATTCGACGGCGATATTCACCGTCAACGCAGATCGGCCCATAGATCTTTCGGAGAATTTTTCTCTCAAACACTTTAAGAGCTACCTCATCTGCTTGCGTAAGTACCCATGTTTCAGATCCATATAATCTTGTAGAGTGTGAGTTTCGTCTGCCGTGAGGTGGCCTTGCTTTTGAGTTGTTTGCTCAGACCATAGTAGCAATTGTTGGTCATCAGTATCCTTCTCCGAATTTCAAAACTGATGCCATTCTTTTTATTTATGGCGGGGTACCAAGGTACCCACAGTTGGTCCGAGTCTACTGGACGTCTTGCGCGTTGATACCATCCAGACTCACTTTGGCGGACTCCTTCTCAATTTGTTCAAAGGTGGCTGTTACCACACGCAATGTTCGACCCATTATGTCGATGTCATCGACGTAGACGAGTAACATGTGTTGTTTGGTGTACAGAGTGCCATTTCTGTTGACCTTTGCCTCTCGTATTATCTTTTCCAGCAGGATGTTAAAAAGTTCCCACGACAAATTGTCTCCTTGTCTGAATCCTCGTTCGGTATTGAAGGGCTCCGATAGGTCCTCTCCGACTTTAACTGCTGACCTTGTGCCAGTTAAAGTTTTCCTGCATAGCCTTATTAATTTTGCAGGAATGCCGAACGTAGACATGGCTTTAAACACCTCTGAAAGGATAGGGCTGTCGGCTTTTTAGTCGAAGAATAGGTGTGTATGTATATGTTTTTCGTGGGTTTTTTCCAGGATTTGGCTCAGGGAGAAAATTTTGTCAGGATTTGCCAGGTCTGATGTCGCATTGGTACGGTCCAATAATGTCACTGACCATTGTCTTTAGTTGTTCACACAGTGCGCTGGATAGCACTTTATATGTGATGGGAAGGAGACTTATTCCTGTATAATTGGCACATATCGTCTTTTTTTTTTTTTTTTTTTTTTTTTTGCACGGGACACAGGATCCTGAGGTTCCAATCATTGGACATGCCTTCTTCTAGCCAAATTGTACGTCATCTATTATTCGTTCTGGGGTATCCTGTACATTTCGATTTGCTCAAGCTCACTTTTTCTTGTTCTTTGTTCTTTTTCTGAAAACACGTTTCTACTCTCTCCTTTTCTGCCGATAATTCTCCATCACATTACGTGTTGCTATTGTCTGCAGGGTTGCCCTATACACTGTGTTTTTCATATCAGTAGCATTGCGACACTCCTGATCGTACCACGGATTTCTTGATGGTGGTCTTTGGTACCCAAGTGTTGCTTTTGTTGTAGTTTGTAATCAACCTCATGCCGTTGTCTGATGTTTCTTCATGGAGGTGGGGCCAAAGATATTTTCCCTTCCGATTTTTGCATTAAAATCTCGTAGCAGAATTTTAATCTCATGGTCAGGGCAACGGTCATATGCTGTTTCTAGGTGCTCGTAAAATATGTCTTTGGTCTGTTCATCTTTATCTTCGGTCGGAGCATTGGCGCAAATGAGATTGATGTAGAAGAAATTCACTTTTATACGGATTATAGCAATTCGCTCATCTACTGGAGTGAATCTAGAGACGAGGTCTTTTATTCTCCTATTAACCATATATCCGCAGTAAAATTCATGTCTCGTTTCGTGGCAACTATAATACAGGGCATAATCATCTGATTTACTTACGCCAGCCCCTTTCCATCGCATTTCCTGTAAAGTAATAATATCGGCTTTGTACTTCTTGAGTACACCCGCCGAAGCGAACGCTGCGCCTATTCTGTACAACGTGCGCACATTCCAAGTGCAGATTCGCAGATCGTGGTCCTTTATACTCTGCGGGGGTCGTCATCATTAGGGGGTTTGGTTTTCTTTTTCTTTGCTTTTTTATAGTAGGTTGGGTTTTCCGAGTGTGGGCAACTAACCCGATGCCTCAACCAATTTGTTTATAGTTCTTATGGGTGAAGCTCACTAGCTCACTATTTGAATGGATTATGATAATTTTTACCCCAGGTGTCACCGCGGGGACAATTGAGATAAAAGAGGGACCAAGATAAGCCTGAAATTCGCCATGTTAAAGCCAATCAGAGCCGTTGTTTGGTATCTATCATCACCTACGCCACCCACCACACCTTTTATGAAAAAAATTATTTATTTTAAAAATCCACGCCTTTTATAATCACTGAAAAAAATATTTTAAAAATCCATGTTTTGGAAAAAAAATATTTTTTTAAAGTGTTTGTGATTTTTTTTTATTTGATGTGTGTAAACATTGTTGAAAATCATGAAACCATAATAAACTTTTATTTTCCAATCGTGCCCGGTGTTCATTGTCGATCACTGCTTGCACAGCTCTACGAAATGACAAGCCTCTATTTATGAAATTGCCATACAGGTTCCTATACAACCTGCCTCACAGAGGAGGTGTAAGGGAATTAATAGTAAATACTGAATACGATGTTTTGTTTATTTTGCATATTTGAAAATCGCAACAGGGTGCCCGCTTGGATGTTCCTGCCTTTGTCGGTCACATTTAAATGTTAACGGCTGCTGCAGTGCCAGTTATTAATTATTGCTCTTACATTATTTTGCTTTTTTGTTTTGTTTTATTTTGCGGTACTAAGGCTATGATTTTCGAAGTTTCTGTCACACGGAAGTTATTTGTCGGTTACTTTCACTATTTGAAAAAAAAAAATACAACAACAACAATAGCAGTGCATTAGAAATGCAGTGATGATAATTGCAGGTTTGTCAGATTATATCGACGTTTAAACACTTTGAGGTATTGGAGAGATGGGTGTATTTTTCGTAGAGATTAGGGGATGATATTTTAAAAATTAGTTACATATTAAATTTAAAAAAATTAAGAAATACGTTTAAATTTTGAAATTATCGGAAATATTGTTTGATTTGATTCTCATCTAAACCCCCTGAGGACATTCTCCACAAATGCCTCTTTAATTTTTTTTTTTAAATTTAAAACCAACAAACAAAGCAGATTTAATCATCTACCCAATCGTCAAAATTAAACCAATTTTGTCGACTCCTTAAATTAATGGCAATACTCACTCAAACACGTTCTTAAAAATAAAAAACTAGTTTTTATTTTCAAAAACAGCAAAGAATCGGTAGCAAAAATTGCTTAACTTTTTTAAATCATCTCAACGTTGTAGACAATCTCCATACTCCTCACCATGATTAATGAACACATTTCGAATTTGTCGTAAAAATACGAGTACGTATATTCGTTTTAAGTGGTTTATTAAGAATTGTGTCTAAAGATGCTTATCTTTAAATAAATGGTTTGCCTTTTTTTTTGTTTCAAAATACTTTAGCGTATTAAATAAAAAAATAAATTCTTAGTAAAAAAACGAGTTTTATTGTTTTGTGTATAAATACATAATTTATTTTTTTTTCTCTCTTTATTTTTTTTCTAGTTTCTGTAACACCACCACCTCAGAGGCCATGGATACCTTTGGCGAAACCCAACAAGTCCAGACCAGCATGTAAGTAGTATTTATCATCTTGTAATGCGATAAGAACTAAAATTTTAATTAAAATTGATTAATGGAAGATTTTAATAAAAATACAAAAATATACTAAACAAAACAAGAATGTGTTCTTTTAAAAATCAAATTTACTTCTTTAAGATCTAATGTCGTTCTTAACGAAGACCAAAAAAATGATTTTCTTATACAAGATCAGAAAAATGTTCAAATATAGAATAACTTCGGGTAATGTGGACCACCATTTTCTTTTTTTGATATTGTGGGCGTAACAACGGTAAAAAATAAAAACAAATTGTTTTCACAGCATGGTAGATTTGTTGGCTAATTATATTCCAGGTCAAAAATTATATATATTTGTCCATAAAAATTTTATTGCATTATATTTCAAAAAACTCTAAACTGCAAATAAAAATAACTTGGCGGGTAATGTGGACCAGTATGTGTGGGTAATGAGGATCAGTAAGTTGAAGGTAGGTTGTGGATTAATTGTGATAAATTTCAAATTATTGCACTCTTGGGTAACAATGAATGCAAAAATATATGGGTCCATGTTTTGGAATAGCCCCCATTTAAGGGTACCACCCCATTTGCGGTATTTTGAAGGTCCTTGCTTCATTATCCAACCGAGGCACGTATAATTTCGGATATCGAGTTTTCAGAGGATAGAATACCTCCTCGCATATTAAATGCGCCCTTGTTTCGAACTCGTCCTCATGAAAATGTCCCACTTTTTTATAGTGGTCCACATTACCCGACATTGAATATTTTTATTCAAAAATAATTATTGGCTTCAAAAATGAATAAAAATTTAAAAATAACCGAAAGTAATTACAGATAAACGTATATTTTTGTTAAAGAAAACAAGAAAACCACATAAGCTCTTCATATTCGAGAAAAACAAAATGTTCGACTATTTTACAAAATCGTTCGACTATTGCGCTAAAAAATTTTCGAATCACACTTTTACAATCAGAGCTACATTTTCACCAACTAAATTTTCAACATTGCAATTATTTATTAAAAACCAAGTTTGATGTTTGTTTTCACTAATTAGGAAAACATTTATCAAGGCGGAATTGGCATATTTGAAGCATTTCCTTTGATATGGGGGTGGTCCACATTTGACGCATGGTCCACATTACCAGAAGTTACTCTAATACAAACGGATGTTATAGCTGTGCAGAATGGTTTTATTATAGAAGGTTATCTTTGTATTTTTGTAACACTACAAGGTGTTTATCTTCTAAAATACTATGAACATCTTCTTAAACATAACCAAAATATTTCCTCGTGAGGAGGAAATTTCTCTTTTATATAAGTCCAGACATTTCTACATTAAAAGGCCGTAAAGGATATCCTATGGTTAGAAGGAATTTTATTTCCACAGAAGACCAGAACTTCTTCATATGAAAATTAAGAATTTTTTTTCTTATTGAATCTCACAACGAAACATCTTATGGAAGACTAAAAGGTCTTCTTATAAATTTACCAAGTCTTCTTAATAAGGAATCTTCGTACATTAGGTCAAATGAATATTTGTATTGAAACACCGAAAACATCCATAGAGAAGGCCCAAAAGGTCTGCTTATAAAATTTCAAAAAACTATTCATATAAAAGGCCACAAGAGGCTTATTGTAGGAAACCGAAAGGAACTATTAAAGTAACACTTTAGAAGATGCCTTTTATAAAACACCAGAAAGATCTTCATATAGAAGGCCTACTTATAAAATGCCAAAAGATCGTCCTATATATTACTATAATATTTTCGTATAGAAGACTGAAAGGTATTTTAAAAATAAACCAGTGAGCGGAACAGGAATCCATACCTTCTGTGGATATATATTCCGAGTTTGGCCATTCTTTGACCAATTAGAGGTCAACACCTTCTCTTTCTTACCTGGCATCTTTTCCGAAACTTGCTTTCCCAGGGTGAATATTGACTTCATAACGTGGATTTTACATCGAAAGGTCTTGTTTGATTTGACCCACTGAATATTGACCATATCATAGGCCATGATCATAAGCAAAACAGCCCTAAGTAGTTTGACACCGTGTGTTACGATCATCGGCTTATAATTTAGTCTACATTCGGTACATTTCATCCTCTAAATAGTAACCCATCTTTACCGAAATTAAAAGTGACGTCCTTGACTATAGGCAGAACCTGGGAGTCTGGGACCATTTGACCCGCTAAATAAAGTCCAATCTTAATCAAAACAATTCCTGGTGTAAAATTTCGTGATGTTCAAGCCATAATTACGGCCTCCGGAACGACCAGAAAAACAGAAAAAAATAAAGTTTTTGGTCCCAAATATTAACTGATAATTACCAAAAACAAAATTTCGTGACGATTGGTCAATAACTGACTATTTCCCTGGTCCATAACTGTTTCCCTACTGAAATAGAATATAAGGTCAATAAATTTTTTTATAGAACACCAAAATTATTTTTATATGAAAAATATTAATGTTTGTTTTGCGCACTTAGCAGCATTTAAAAAAAAATTGAAGCATACTTTTAGTCTCATACATTTTTGCTAATTTCTTAAACAATCTATGTTTACTTTGGCAATCTTAATAATAATGCAAGAGGTCTGTAGTTTATTATGTATACGGTACTGTGGACAACTACGCCAGGTCAATATTTGCAGATAAGTATTAGGTTGGGGAAGTAATCTATTATTTTTTCGGTGGATGGCTGTAATGTTAGATTTCTCGTAAAATATCGATCAAACAATTTTAGATTTATGCTCGTTGAAACCATTTACAATTGACCAGAATTGGCCAACAGGAGAGCAAGTGTCGTGTTCCACCAGAACAACGCTAGCCACATCTACAGTGACTCGCCAGAAACTTCGGAAGCATGGTTGGGAAGTTTTAATGCGGATGTATACAGTCCGGACTTGGCACCAAGCGGTTATAATATTTTTCTTGCATTGCAAAATTTCTTTAATGATAACAAATTGGTATCTAGGGAGGATTGTGAAAATCTACTACTAGAGTTTTTTTTTTGCAAATTGAGAGCAGGACTTCTATGAGAGAGACATTATGAAGTTGCCTTTAAAATGACAACAAATCATGCAACAAACAGTGCATATTTGGCCCAAATTGAACATTCCGAAGCATGTTAAATAAAGTCCTACAGTTCAGTAGTGTTGGCGGGTTATTTAGGATACCATTTGTATTTGGTTTTTGCAAAATATTCAGGCTGAATTCCAGTTTTTTTTTTTATTAGTGGGGAATGTATGGCATTGTCTGCATTGTTGACCACGAAGTCAGGCACCAACGAACTTCTCATTGAGGTCGGATCGCTGTTAACGTAAGTACTTCGAACTGTCACAAGAGACATTTGGGTATGAAAGGTTTTTTGTAATATCTTCTGGGGAGAATACCCCAACAAAACCTAAGGAAACTGATGAGGATCAGTGGCGAGATCCGAAACTATAGTCTTCCCTGCTTTACCCCTCGGCGGACAATGCCATACATTCCCCACTAATACATATTTATTTCTTTATAAAAACAACAAACTGGGATTCAGCCTGAATATTTTGCAAAAACAGTCCTACAGTTCATATAAAAATAAGGGGTTTCTTTGTCCTCAGCATAATATAATTGAATGATCTCGTTGTGATAGGTTGTCTAGTAGAATAGTTAGTTGAAAACGAAAAAAAAACATATTTGCCAGAACTGGATCCTCTTCTGACAGCGGATATTTGCCTACTTCGAAATGAGGAGTTCGCGGGATCACAATTCCGGAACCCCCTATAGTAAAGCATGAAGTTCCTCAGGGTGGAATGATATCTCCGGAACAATTTATCATCTCCGCGCCCTCCAGACGACATTGAGATCTTTAAGGGCCCTATCTTTGAGGACATATGTATAATGTTGAAAGCCTATCTAGAGTAGATTTGACACAACCTAAATGCGGATGATTCCGCTGACTTAATGACACGGACAATCTGTGTGACATTTGGCAACGGTTAAAATGCTCAGCTAATTGAAAAGTTATGGGCTCTTTTTTAAGGCGACCAGATTTAGAAAATGAAAATAGATGACATTAAGAAAAAATTAGCTGAGCACTTAGCAGCAGAGTATCATGTCTTTGCATATATTTTTGTAACAGGCAAAGGGAGTCGATTTAGCAAAGTACAAATCGCATTTATGTTCCGATTTGGATGAGATTTGGTACAGTTCTTTTATTTGGCCCAAGGACGAACCCTATTGAAATTTGAGAATACATATTCTCGTCCGATTTTATGTATATGATGCACCAAACTCCCAACATATGTGCGATTTAAACAAGATTCAGCACAGTGTACTGAATTAGGCCCTAAATGATGTATGCGAAGTTTTGTTGGAATGGGTTCAGATTTATTTATAGCTCCAATATATATTTTCGAATAATTTTATAGAAATGGTGCATCAAACACCCACTGTTTTTCCGATTAATACGCAATTTTGCATAGCATTTTGAATTGAGTTAATAGTGTTGTGCATTAGATTTTGTAAAAATCTGTCCAGATTTCGCTATAAGCCGTTTATATTTTCGTCCGATTTTATGTAAATGGTCGGTCAACTGATTTACTGAAATAAATTTGTATATAAAAATATAGATGACAAAAGATCACGATTATTGAAATAGATGGCAGATAGAGTATCCATATAATGTAGATGTCAGCCAGTTAAAATAAATGATGGTCCTCTACAAAAGAGGACTTATGGTCACCTTATTATTTCGAAATTCGGCTATGAGCTTCAAAATTCTTTTGAAGTTCTTTGGGCAATAAATAAACGTTAAATAAATGATTGGCCTACAAGAATATCAAATAACAATTAAGCCGGTTGGACGATCTATCGAGGACGATCAATATACCTAAAATGGGGCCATTTTTTGAGGAATTGCCATGACATAAAACATATATTAAAAAATTTCTGCAGATACTTTTCCCACTAAAATGTCAGCCCCTTCGGTTGGAAAATGCGGCTACAACCTCAAATATTGAGGACTACTCATAAAATGAGAACTGGACGATGTCAATACAGACCGATTTCAAAGCTCTACTGTAAATATCGATTGGTTTTAACAAACAGGCCAACAGAAATGCTGAAGGACGTTGATAAATTGAAATATAATTCAATTCTGATCAGAAATATATATATATATATATATATATCAGGATATTTATGTACTTATAATTTAGAAATTTATGTTAATCTATCAAGATTTATATATAGCTTCCCTATATAATTTTTCCTTTTTTAACAACTTCCCCACTATATTTCTCTTTACTCCAACATTTCCGTTACTTATATCTACATCTGGATAAATTTATTTAAATAATAATTTCATTTCATTTTTTCTTTGCAGGTCTCTTCACAGTCATGTGTTACAATGTGCTGTGTGACAAATATGCCACCCGTCAAATGTACGGCTATTGTCCATCGTGGGCTTTGAATTGGGAATATCGCAAAAAGGCCATACTCGATGAGATACGTCATTATTCGGCAGATATTATCAGCTTGCAGGAAATCGAGACGGAACAGTTTTATAACTTTTTCCTGCCCGAGCTAAAGAATGATGGCTATGAGGGCATCTTCTCGCCAAAGTCCAGAGCCAAGACAATGTCTGAAGTGGAACGTAAATATGTGGATGGTTGCGCTATATTTTTTAGGACCTTAAAGTATGCTACAAAAAATCGCAGATTAACATTTTCAATTTAAAAATTTGTTTTTGTTTTTCTCTATTTTCTTCTCAGATTCTCTCTCATCAAAGAGCATTTAATTGAATTCAATCAATTGGCCATGGCTAATGCTGAAGGTTCGGACAACATGTTGAATCGTGTTATGCCCAAAGACAATATTGGTCTGGCCGCATTGTTGAAGGTCAAGGATAATGCCTGGGATCCCGAATTGGATGTAACCCAGACCTCGCAAGCACTGTTGGTGTGCACCGCCCACATTCACTGGGATCCCGAATTCTGTGATGTCAAACTGATTCAGACAATGATGTTGAGCAATGAATTGAAAACAATTATTGACGAGGCCAGTCACAGCTTCCGACCTGGCCATAAAAACGATTTGAACAGTGTACAGCTATTGTTGTGTGGCGATTTCAATTCTCTGCCCGATTCCGGTGTTGTGGAATTTTTGAGTAAGGGCCGTGTCAATATGGATCACAGCGATTTCAAAGACATGGGTTACAAGTCATGTCTGCAACGTCTGCTCTCGAATGACACCTCAGAATTTACGCATTCCTTTAAGTTGGCCTCGGCCTACAGTGAGGACATAATGCCGTATACAAATTACACCTTTGATTTTAAGGGCATTATCGATTATATTTTCTACACAAAGACGGGCATGGTGCCGTTGGGTCTACTGGGGCCCATATCGAATGATTGGCTGCGCGAAAATAAAGTTGTTGGCTGTCCGCATCCGCATATACCCTCCGATCATTTTCCACTGTTGGTGGAATTGGAACTGATGCATACGGCAAGTCAACAGTTGCCACCAAATGGTTTGATTAGTCGGCGGTAGCAATAAAAATTATATGGGAAGACAACGTTAACAGCCTTTAGTAATAGTAGTAGTAGCAAGAACAACAACAACAACAAAAACAACTACAGCAACATTATCAACAACAAGAATAATAATACCAACAATAACAACAACAACCACCAGAATAGCAGGGAGTACATTTTACAAAAACAACTAATAAAACAAGAACAACAAACACATATAATAGGAGAATTACAACAAAATGATTCTGGTAATCAAGTAAAAGCTGCCGTTGTCCATTTTATAGAAACTCATATCGTCGCCGTCGCCTTTATCATTTGCTTCGTTAACGATGTTGTCGTTATGCGAAGCATCATCGTCGTATTCGTCGTCGTTGCCGTTGCCGTCATCAACAACATTAAGCAAACAAAAACAAATACAACAATAATAATAATATTAATTATATTATTAATAACAACCACCTTCAACACAAGGACCACAGGAACAATCTTTATAAAACTACAACAACAACAACTGATGTCATGATCATAATGGAAGCCCACAACAAAAAAAAAAAAAAAAACAAAACAAATAAACATAATTTATTTTTTAAGTTTTAAAAATTTAATTAAATAATACAAAAACCAACACAAAAAGTAGCAATTTAAATTAAATATTTTTATGTTTCTATTTTTTTCTACTCTACCCCTACTTTTTCTACTATCCCACCTAGTCCCTGCCATTGTCCTGTTTTTCTTCTATTTTTTTCTTTCTGTCCCACAATCACAATTCCTTGCAATTAGTTTTGCTTTACTTTTTTCATTTTTTCTTCCTTTTTCCTTTTGTTTAAATAGTTTTATATTTATTGTCAATTGTAGCTATATAATTTTAAGTCCAAATAATTCTCCCTTCCAGCACGTTATATGCTCCCAAAAAACAACTGTTCTTCTTATATTTTTCTTGTATTGATTGCGCTATGCTATGTTCCGGTTAGACAAAAATACTAAAAACTGAACGATTAAAGAGATGTGTTTAGGTGTTATAACAAATTTTTAGGAAAAAAACAAACAAACAAAAACAACAAAACAAATAAATATATTAAAAAAGTATAAAAAATCATTATATACAAAAAACATTCGGAATTTTTATTTCAAAATTAAATGCTTTATTAACCTGAAAATCTACAAGGGACTAAACATGAAACAATTTGAATAAAATTTGATTATAAATTAATATTCAAAGGTAAATTGGTTCTAAGCTAACTTCTTTATATTTTTCTTAAGGATACAAAAAACATATTTTTATTAAATTTACATAATGCACCAAATAATCGGTTGACCATAATTTCATAGTCGAACAAACAAATTAACTTTTCAAAATTCAATATTAAAAAAAAATAATGTCGTAACTTAATTCAATATACACTCCATCATAAGGATTTAATGATATATGTCCACATTTTCGTGTAATCCTCATTTCGGTATTTTTTGCATTTTCCAAACGAAGGGAATGTATTTTGGCCAATACATAAAGTTCCCGCCCCATTTTAAGTATTTTGATGGTTCTAGGCGTATTTTAAACCCGAAATGACTATAAAATTGGAGTTACAGGGTTCTTGATGAATTTAAAATTTCTTGTCTGTAATTTGGAAATTATTTCAATTATAAAAATTTTCCTAAACCCCTTTCGACATAGTTCAATAGATTTTAGTACTTAACGGGATTTGCCCTTATTTCTTTCCACACGTCCCTCTCTCTCTATAATTAGAATAAGGCGACATTGTGTGAATGGAAAATATTTTGTATTTTAAGATGTTTTCACCGGATAGATTTGGTCGATACTTTTATGGAATATAAATAAAACTAATTTCATTCATTTTTTTACTAAAATAGTTTTATGTATTGCATAAAAGTATCGACCAAATCAGTCCGATTAAAACACTTTAAAATAAAAAAAAGGAATTTTTCTTTAGTGAGATTTCTTCTTTGTAAAAAATTTAAAATAAGGCTTAATATAATTTTTTTAAGTGTTTATAGCTATCAAGGTTTTTTTATAAGGTTACTCGGTATGGTCAGATGAAGTTTTCGTCAAAAATTGTTTTGGTCGTATTTCGCAAAAAAGGAAGACTTCGCCTCTTGTGTCACCTTGTAAATGAGCCAAAGCTGGATTCAAAATATGCTTTGGCCGCAAACATTATATTTAGCCAAACGTACTGTCCTATATGTATACTTTGCTTAGACTACAACCTTATACGAAGAGAAGATGAAATTCAATATTTTGAAATTATACTAATTGTATCAACATAACACTTGGTCACTGTATCTCCATATTTAGTTTTGAATAAAATTGTAAGTCTCTGTAGATTTAGTCAATATATGTTCTCTACATAGGTAATGCTTTTGTTGTTTGTATTAATTTGGTTTAAAATGAGATTGCAAAGATTTATTAATTTCTCCCCAACGTATGATTTATTTTCGTTTTACAGGATGTTTAGGTTATCTACAAAATGTGGGGTTATGTCCACAAGATAGTTATTACATAAATACAATATGATTTTAAAATGTCTACATAAATATTCATATTGACTCGTGGTGTCTTTTGACTGTAATAAACATTACAGTTAGATTTCACAAAATTAAAAACATTAAAGAATATAAATATGTGTATTAATTAAGATTGATATAGTCGAGCTTGAGGTCTGAATATATCAATCTTAATTATAATTTGGAAGGTCGAATAATCTAACAAAATACTATTTGTATTTCGACGGTCAATATCTGTCAAAAATAAAATACATTTTCAAATCTGTGATTGCGTCAATAAATCTGCATTACAATCGTTTGGTATCCACAATTGACCAATACCGTCCATAGTACTCATGCTCAAAAGTTAATATATGCATATACTAGTTGGATAATCGCTGCAATTTTGAAGGATTTATGACAATGCATGAGAATAAATATATATCGAGGGCGTAAGCTGCCAATATTATGGCCACTTAAAGGGGCATATTCATTGTCGATTTCAAAATATAAATTTTTTTCTCTAACATTTTAAAAGAACAGCTCAACAGATTGTGAAGGTATCATTTTTTTCAAGCTGTTAGTTCTACGTTTGAAACATGAAATTATTTATTAGCTATTAATCCAGTTGATTTCAATTTTTTTTTTTATTTTAAAAGAATCAGAATTTTGTGCGAAATGTGGTTTTATTATAAAATAAATATTAAATATATAAACATTTAATTTCATATTTTCATCTTTCTCATATGGCGATTAATTGTTCGGATTTTTAAATGCATTCAATTTGTGTGTGTAACCTCACATTTTGAAAATATCTGATTTAATTATTAACTAGCATTCTGTAAACCGGCATTTCTCTTATTTTATCCCCGCAATTTTTCTCTCCTCCTCTATTTTATGTCCTTATTTACTACTCATAATTTTTTCTCTTAGTTTCTAAGTAATAAATAAATTATACATTGTATAAAATGCACTTAAGACAAGGAAGAAAAGATAAAGTATATATATAAAAAACCAACAACAAATTTATAGAAAATATATCATAAGATCTATAAAGAATCAATAACAAAATAAAAAACAAACAATGAACATCAAATAATAAAAACAAATCGTCTCTTTAAAAAAACACAAAACAAATATAAATTAAAAAATAAACAATTTTTTATGTATTTGTTTAAGTTTTAAATCGACAAGAACCAATTTAGCCCAATCATGAATATCCGAAAGGAAGTGGATGCGCAAGGAATTTGTTTTTTTTTTTTTTTTTTGCTGATTGGATTCTCGATTCATCATTTTTTTTTTGTTTTTTTTTTCTAAAGGAAAATGCAAGTTTGAAAACGTGCATGAACCTATTTTTTCGTTGAGGATTGATTTTCCTTGCGGAAATGAAGAGAGAAAAAACGTTACGGATTTGGAATTCATAGTTGAGCTGATAGTATATTTTACTACAAAATTTTTTGGTATTGAAGATTTGGCTATTTATTTTATCTTCGGTCAAATACTGAAAATTTTTTAATTGATATTCAAATAATGTTCAAAAACAGCTCAAATAATTTTTTGAAATTTTAGAGCTTGTAATATTAAAAATTGAGCTTGGCACATTACGATGTTGGGTATTGAATCGGTTCACGTTTTGGTATAATATTTTTTAGGGATAATTTTTATTAAAGAACAAGTTTTTAATGCGTGGATTTAAAAAATATACCCATTTTTAAAAAATATTTTTTCAACATCTCGTGGATTTTTTAAAGTCCTAATATAATGGTCTTCTTTATTTTTAGATTGTTTTGAGTTTTTAGGCATGTTTTTCAATAGTGGATTTGGTACTTTAGGTTATCATTGCGTAACAAACCTTCCTACCATATTCTGGTCAATATTGGTAAACTTTATAGCGTAACCCCCATTGCGTAACCTCCCAAATTTCGATATTTTCCACCAAATTGGTTCCAATTTTGTATTTTCGATTTTTTTTAGATTTTGGGTTCTCTTTTGCTGTTAAATCGTCCTAACAAGAGTATTACCAATCAACTTTAGATATTTCGAATGTCCACCACATGGTGGAGAATATAAAAATATTTTAGGCTACAATGGGGAGGTTATGTTGTTATTTCCCGACTACTCGATTTTTTGTTTCCTTTTGTCAAATAATGTCAATATCGGTTTATTAAAGAGTTATTTATTCAAAAATTAATTCAATATTTTTATTTATGAATAAATTTAAATCTATTTTGAATATTTTCTTTCAAAAATAATCTTTTGTATTACATTTAAATTTCATCCATTTAACGCACATCCGCATGACATTAAAATAACAACAACAAAAATCTTTAAACAAAAATGAATTTTAGCATATTTTTATATAGAATTACGAAATTGAAAAAAACATTAACAACAACAACTAAACTGAGATAAAAAAGAAATCCCTTATTAAACCAAGAAAAACAAAAAAATCCCCTAAACCTAACAAACAAAAGAACGTTGAATATGAACAAAGTTTAAAAAAAATTAACAAAACATAAAAGGTAATTAACCAAATAATAAGAATAATAAAAATTTAAAACTAATAACAAAACACAAATGGACAAAAACTATAATTGAA